AGTTTAAAAACAATCCCATTTATAAATGTACACACAAAAAGTACCAAGGACTAAATCTAAGTAAGGGAGTGAAAAGACATGGAACCTACAAAACGCTACTGAAAAGTAGACACCGGGAGTGAGGTCAAGAAAAAGATACTCACATACCCACACTGTTAAAATGGCCAAACTATTAATTCAAAATATAGACACAAACTCTATGAAAATCTCTCTAGTGTTCTTCATAGAAAAAGTGCCCCCAAATCATAGACTTTGTTTAGAATTATAAAATATGCCGAACAGCCAAAGCAATCCCAGGGGGCGAGAAGGAACCAAGTAGAAGTATCATGCTCCCAACTTCAGATTATATTAGGAAGTAACAGAAATCAAAACACTGTGACATTGTAATAAAAACAATTAGAGGCTGGAGAGATAGTACTACAGGGAATAAGAGGTTTGCTTTGCATGTGGTCAACCTGGGTTCAATCCCTGAGCACAGAGCCAGGATAAGCCCTGAGTACCAGGCAGGTGCAGCCCCAATCCCCCCAAATATTAATAAAAATATAAAAACAAAAAAAGAAACAAAGAAAAATGAAATTTTAGACTGTAAGAACAAAAGTGTCTATTACAAGGGAATGTGGAAGGAAATTTAAGTTAGGTTAAAGGGCTCCAATATGGTGACAGATGGAAAGAATAATTCTGGTGAATGTAATGTCCACAGATACGCTGGGTTAAAGACTATATACCTGAAACCTACATAATGTTACAAACCAGTATTCCTTCAGAATAAATTTGTGTGCCATGTCTGGCCATTGTAAAGGTACCTTGTTTCCTCTATAATTAAATAATACACGAGATATTTTTAGATCTGTGAACTTCCTGTTCTCTGGTCCCTTTTACCTAATACCTTTTGAGTATACACTAATGACTTGCTTGAATCAATTACTACCGAACTGGAGGCTGCAAACACTTAGGCCAGACACATTTCTATACAGATACTGTTTTGAAAAATATCCTTCCCATTCTACCATTTTGTTCAACAGAATTCAATATTAGTACTTTCAGTTTATTGGGTCACTCTGAAAATGCTCAGGGCTGACTCCTGGCTTTGTGTTCTAGGATCACTCCCGGAAGAGTTTTGGAGACCAGCCGTGTGCAAGGCAAGCGCCCCGCCCACTGTACTGTCTTTCCCAGTCCCTGCCACTGTTCTTTTTGATGTTCCAGTAGTCCTACGCAGTGTAAGGCCTTTGAAATGAGTTCCTATATGCTTCTGACATGTTTCTACCAGTTTTCTGTACACTTTTACTTTATGGCACAAGATTATCTCAGGCTCATTTTATTTTTAAATGTTTAATTGTTCTTTACTTAGAATGATATCAAACACCATATTAAAAACATCATGCAGAACATTTTACATTTTAGTGTACTTTAAATGTTTTTTATTTGAATGAGTCGCTGTGAGATAGAGCATTACAAAGCTAGCTATTCATGACTGTGTTTCAGTCACACAGTGTTCCAACACCCACCCTTCCACCCGGGTAATTTCCCAGCACCAGTGTCCCCAGTTTCCTTCCCACCCCTTCAAGCCACCCCTCACCTCTCTCTCCTCTTTCTTCATTTTATGAATTATGGTTTGCAATACAAATGCTGAAAGGTTATCATGTATATCTCTTTTCCTACTTCCAACATTTAGTTCTTGTCCAGAGTGATAATTTCCAACTAGTACTGTCATAAGGACCCTCCTCTGTCTTAATTATACTCTTTTTTTTTTGAGCGGACAACATACTTTACTGAAGAGTAATATCGAACAGCACATTCCTGCACATGTGGAGAAGGACTAGCTTCTATAATAGGCCTGTAGCCCTTAAGAAGTGCCCCCCCCAACACACACCACACCCCCACCATGAAATTGCTTTTGGATACATTTTAACAGTGACACTGAGATGGGCAGGGAGCAGCCACTGAACATGCTTAAAATGAGCTCCCCCAACCCACAGTGAGCCTAAGTAGCTACAGAGATGTCAGAGAAAGGCACAAACAACCAGAGCTGGGACTGCAGCAAGGGCTCCACGTGAACACAGCAGTGCTGGTTGAGACCAGGCTGGGAAGGGTGACATGTCCAACATCAAAAGCTGCCCCAAGATAGCAGGTTGTAACAGGCTGGAGGGAAATTAGAGGGAAGACTTTTTCCTTCACATGAACACCACCCAAAATAGAGGAGACCAGAGAAGAGGAGGACCCTTGGGGTAATTCCTAACCAGTCCTCCTAGCCATTTTCCCTGACCTTGGATATTAGTTTCATAAGGTTTTTTTTTTTTTAAATATTTCACAAACAAACAAACGCATCCCAGGCTCATTTTATACTTTCCTTATCCTAGACTTAAGTCCATTTCTCCCTGGAGTCCTGACGTTGCTCCTTTTATTACAGAATATCCATCTGTTATTTAAAATCCATGATCTGGAAGCGCACTTTTTTCCCTCCTCCCTACAAATCTCTTTCTATCAGCAAATAGAAATCTACCTCATTCTTTTTTATGATACCATATGTATTCTGACAAGTCACCTAGCTGATATCTGATTTGGTATGAAAGTTATCTCATATGTGGTTTGTTCAAAACGGAACAACTCTTCTTCCTAATTCGGCACCTCCCATGGTCTTTCTATCTCTGTAAAAATGTATACCTGCTTCTTGGACAAAAAAAACCCTTGTGGTAGTACTTGACTTCTTTCTCTTTTACTTAACATGCAAATCCATTATCAAATCTGGTTGGCTGTTGATTAAAAAATGTCAATCTGACTCACACCTTCTCTATCAATACTATCACCATCCAATCACCATCATTCTTAGCGGGATAAAATTTAATCCCTGACTTTCCATACCACCTACTTACACAAGCTTCTCAGGATAATGACTAGAGAGATCTTCTATGTGGGTTTTTTTGCTTATTTTGGTACCACCCCTGATGGTACTCATCTTGGAGGGGCTTGGGGGATCATGTGGGGTCCTGGGATTGAACCAGCGTCAGCTATGTTCCAGGCAATCACCCTGCCTCCAGTCCCTAGAAGACCTTCTGAAATAGCCCTGAGATCATTCTTCTCCGTTTTCAAAGGTTTTCCTTTTCACACGGAATCAAAGACGAATTCCTTATAATGGTCCCTATAGTATTTGGATTCCTAATTTTCTTCTCAGACCTCATCTCTGTTTTTCTTTTCTTTTGCTTGCCAGCCCTTATATATGTTAAGCATAGTATCAATTCAGGATTTCTTCACCTTGCAGAAAGTTTAAGCTGCCTAGAAAAATCTCTGCCCAAACAGCCACAAGGTTTCTTATTTCCTGAGGGTGTTTCTGCCTACATTTAGAGAAAATGTGTGTAATGAGGAAGAACAGGAACTTAATAGCATCTGAAATGGCCCAAGTTTTAGCACCTCACATCTCCCCCACTCCCAGTCTCACTCCCTGAATATTCAGGGCTTTGAAAAATCCACAACACAGATCAAGTTTGTTCTCTGTTCTCTTGACTGCCACTTCAGCCATAAGTGGCATTAGACATTAGGTTTGTTAGCTGCCACTCACCCACCTACTTCCAAGCCTCCAAAATTACATCCGTTAATAAGTGAGGCTGTTTTCTCTCATTCATCCTAATAACCCTGAGGGCTGAGACTTAAATAAAAAACCTTCACTTTACAATAGTTTCAGTCAGGGTTTGAGAGGAAACAAAAATGAAATGCTTGTCATTCTGACATCTTAATGCATTTTAAATCATTTGTTTTAAAACACATGCTATAAGGTATTTCCAGGAACAAAAAAATTTTAATTCACAAATAACAGAAAATGGAAGCTTTGAGTATTTGTTCCACTATTCTCATATATTCTACATTTTTTTTATATATATTCAAAATGTATTTTTATTTATTTTTGTCCTGGTGATGCTCAGTGGTTACTTGGACTCTGCCCTCAGGAATTACTCCTGGCAGTGCTTGGGTACCATATGGGATGCTGAGGACTGAACCCTATTTGCTGTGCTATGTCGTTCAAGGCAAGTACCCTACTTGCTGTGCTATTTCTCAGGTCCCCCCACATTTATTTTAGGATTTTAGGACCATACCCAGCAGTGCTCAGCAGTTACTCCTGGTAGTACTCAAGGTACCATTTGCAGCAGAAGGCTCAAACCAGGACTGGCTGCATGCAAGATTCGCCTCTCTACTTCACCATTTATTAAAGATAAGAGAATATTAACAGTGAATCCATATATTATTTTAAATTAATTTAGTGATGTAATATACTGGCCAATTATTTCAGAAAAGCAGATTCCTGTTAATCATTTTTTCCCGTTTATCTAGTTTATCCTTTTTAAAAAATAGGTTTGTTAAGGCAATACCTTTCATGTGGCCAATCCTAGTTTGAACTCCAGAAACATACCTGAGTACACCCCGAGTACACCAGAAGTGACCCTGAAGGAGAGCCAGGAATAGCTCCTGAGCAACACTGGGTGTAGCCAAAAACAAACAAACAAAATCAATCAAATTCTATTTACTGCAAATGACAATTCCAGAAGCCCTTTTAAAGTCCCAAGTGCCCTAAGGCAGATTCCTCAAATGCAGCAGTCCCTGGCCTGGTCCCTGAGCCCAGAGCCAGGAGTTACCCTGACCCAACCAACCCCCCCCCCCCCCCCCCCCCCGTCATTCCCCTTCCCCCCCCCCCAATCTGAAGTACATTCGGGACTTAACCCAACCGCCCCCCCCCCCGCCCACTCCCCTTTCCCCCCCAATCTGAAGTACATTCGGGACTTATCTACAGAAAAATAAATCAAGCCATAGTCATCTCACTTACCTAGGCTTAAGTTCTAATTGATTCTAAGAAAAAAAGTGATTTCAAAGTCTTATCTTTAGATATTAACAGATAAAGCTAATAGAAAGTGTAACACTCACAGCAATACCAACAACATAATTATCATAAGTGTATTATTTCATTGCTGCTATAGCAATCCTGTACAAACTTAGGAATTATAACCAAAACTTACCTGTCTAAGAATATATCTGGGAGTGGTGGGTAAGTCTGCATGTCAGGTACTCGCTCGTGGACTATAACCATAATGAAAGATGTAAATCCAAATACTATAAAAACATATACACAACTCAATATGGTCTTCCAGTACTCTGGGTCCAGTCTTCGAATGGAATGTTTGTTTTTACCATTCATGTACTGGTACTGATCAGAATTCAAATCGGTGATGGGTCCGTCACAGTCCTGTGAAGGCTCCCCATTACAGAGCCACTCTGCGTTCTGAAGAGCACTGATGAAGGGGGAAATGGAGCCCAGTGGACTGTCGCTGTTGTAGCCCATCTCTTCTAAAACATCAGTATGTATTTTCTGCAATTTTCGGACAGAAAGCATCAACCTTTTAATGTCCCCTAGAACTTTGATTTCCAGAGGCGGAGATCGAAGATCATATTCAGTCAGTGTTAGCAATGTGATTCCATCGAGTCGGTGCTTATTGCATAAAATATCCACATATTCAAAAAAGCCTTCATCCTTCAACCAAACAGCCACATGCTTTGTAGTCCAGCGGCGAATGCAAAGTTGATTAGGACCAGCCATTTCCAACTCTACTGTCTGTTAACAAAAAACAGGAAAATAAAACAAAACTTCAGTTTGTGCTAACAACTCTTTCGATGACCAAATATACATAAGCACACCAGAAACAGTAATTTACCTACACTGCCCTAAAGGCTTCTAGAAGAAAGCAAAAGAAATTATTTAATGAGTGGTTTTCAACAGATGAGCTTAGAATACTTCCATGTATACAACCCCAATAGCAAAAGAAAAACTAAAAATTGTTTTAGAAAACAATCTTTTTTTTGTTTTGTTTTTCTGGGTCACATCTGTGACCCAAACACGTGCAGTGCTCAGGTGGCGGTGCTTGGGAGACCACATGAGATGCCAGGGATTGAACCCGAGTTGGCTGCATACAAGGCAAATGTTCTACCTGCTGTACTATTGCTCTGGCCCTTAGAAAACAATTTTCTAAAACATTATTTTACAAATGGCCTTCCACAGAAGAGTATTCATAACTTCATTATAAAAGGTTACTGTTAAGAGACACACAAACGAATCGCAGAACTGAGCAGTTCACACTACAGCCGAACACACAAGTCCAGCGAGCCTCCGTAACCAGGTGTTCAACCACAACCAGGTGTGTGACGCCTGGCACTGCAACATCAATGACAACAAAGGGAAAAAGGGAAAAGTTTCAAAACCAAACGAAAGAGCAGAGGCTAAAGAAAGTGTGCAGTGGGTAAAGTGCTTAGTCAAACTGGGTTCAATCCCAGCCCCACATATGGTTCCCCTGAGGACTGCCAGGAGTTACCCCTGACCAGATAGGCAAAGTAAGTCCAAAAAGTGCAAATAATTTTTTACGACTTTGGTACCATACATAGCTCTTTTTAGTGTGTGCATTATTTTGGGGTCAGACCCAGCAGTGCTCAAGGGCTTACTCTTGGCCAGGTCAGCCAAGTGTAAGACAAGCTCCTTAACCTGCCGATTTTCCATTTTAAAATGTTTAGTCATAGGGGTTGGAGCAATAGCACAGAGGGTAGGGCGTTTGCCTTGCACGCGGCCGACCTGGGTTCGATTCCCAGCCATCCCATATGGTCCCCTGAGCACCGCCAGAGATAACTCCTGAGTCCAGAGCCAGGAGTAACCCCTGTGCATCACCGGGCGTAACCCAAAAAAGCAAAATAAAATAAAATAAATAAGTAAAATGTTTAGTCACTTAATTCTATATATCAGGCTTATTATTTTTATCAGATACATTAAAGAACTGTCTCATGGGAGACAAAGGCCCACATGGAGGGGGAGAAAAGCCTATTTTCCTAAAGTTCTTTGTATCTACTTAAGCGTATGAGTTTCTAGATCTCTAAACTCTGCATTTTTCTCTGAAACACTTGTTTACAAAAAGAGCACAAAGACTTTAAAGTATTAAAAAAAATTGGGTTGGAGGGACAGGACAACAGGTAGGTTACTTGCCTTGCACATGGCTAACCGGGTTAGCCCAAGTACCCCAGATGGTCCCCAAACCCTGCCAGAAATAATCTCTGAGTGTAGTACCAGGAGTAAGTACTGAGCACTGCCAGACATGCCCCCCCCAAATAAATAAAGTATGAAAAAAAATTTTAAATAGGAACCAAAGGGATAGCAATGGGATTAAGGTGCTTGTCCTATACTAAGGGAGCGACCTCTTAGTATAGAGCTAGAAGTAGCCCCTGAGCACTGTAGGATGTGGTACCCGAACCCCCAAATACAAAAAAAACCTAATAAATGATATGACAAATATCCATGAGCTCACAATTCAGTTTGTGGGAAAAAAAAAAAAGTTCCAATAGAAATGTTCTGTATCCTAATCTGGTTAATAGTTATACAGGCAGGTTCATTTCATGAAGCCTATTAAGTTATATATTCTTATGATTTATATAATAGTATGTTTAACACATGAAAATTTTAATTTAAAAGTTTGTCTTAAAAATAAAACATGGGGTAGGGCGTTTGCCTTGCACACGGTCGACCCGGGTTCAATTCCCAGCATCCCATATGGTCCCCTGAGCACCGCCAAAAGCAATTCCTGAGTGCAGAGCCAGAAGTAACCCCTGTGCATCACCAGGTGTGACCCAAAAAGAAAAAAAAAAGGGAGGGGGTTGTAGATTGTAGCTCAAAAGTACTGCGTAGGCCTTAAATACATGAGGCTTTGGGTTCAATATCTAGCACTGAAAACAAAACTGGATAGAAGAGAATGGTCTACTAAGCATTTTCTTCTTTTTTCCCCAGAAAATTCCAAATTCTGGCAATTATCATTTCCTCAAAATATGCATTTTTGGGGGCAATATAAATCTTTCGATTCTTTCTTACATTGAAAATGTAAAAAGCTGGGGCTAGAGAGAGTAGTACACCAGGTAAGGTGCTTATCTTGCACACGGCTCACCTGGGTTCAATGCCCCACATCCCAAATAGGCCCTTGAGCACTGCCAGGAGTGATTCCTGAATACAGAGCCAGGAGTAACCCCTGAGCATCACCAGGATTGGTCCAAAAAACAGCAACAACAATGTAAAAAAGCTACTATGGTGCATTCTTACCCAGTTCTCTGAAACTCTTGTAAGGCTTACAATCCCTTGAGAAAGGCAGATACTTTACATGATCACCACTTAACCCCAACAAAAATATCCAGCAAATAAAAAATACTCATTAAATATTTATTTCTTAATAACTAAAAAGCAATCTTACTTTCTGGAAGGCTTTTTGAAATGTCTTTTATTTTTAAAACAACCTTTAAAAAAATATTTTTGTATTGAGTACTGTATTCAATATGCCAAACACAGTAACAACAGGTCTCACAATGGAGACATTACATTACTGGGCCAGCTCGAGCAAATCAATGAACAACCGGAGGATAGTGCTACAGTGCTACTGTAATTTACAAAGTTATTCACAGCACCTAACTTTACAATCAGCCATGATCAAATTCCATGTGCACAATTTTCCCGACCTCAGCCCTGTCACACCAGTATCAGAGATCACTCTCTCCTGGGCTCTGGGGCCATATGGGGTGCCAGGGACCAAGCCTGGATCAGCCACATTGCAAGGCAAATGCCATAACCACTGTCCTATCACTCTGGCTCCTTAAAAACAACTTTTAATATTACCAATCCACAACTGCTTTCCAGTCTTAGAAAATTAACAGTGCACACATCTAGTAAGGATTCTGCAAACTTAAAAAAAAAGAAAAAGAAAAAAAGCTGTCTCTTACATAGTATAATCACAAACACTTAATTCTTTCTTTTGCTTTAGTGTTATCACTATCACCCCCAAAGCCAGAATATTGTAATTTAACATGAGGAACTGATGCACAATGATATACATAATTTGTATCATTTGCAATAGATGAGAAATTCCAGTAAGATATGACTTTGCTGTTTGAGTTCATTTACAGAGCCAGATGGCTTCATCCAACCAATTATATACATATATTTTCCTAACAGAATTACTTCATCTCTGAATATACATTAAAAACATGCTACAAATTCTGCGTTTATGATGCTACAAACTGAGAAGCTCATATGCAAAACAAGGTCAAATTTCTTCAATCATTTTTGCTACCTTTCCCCTTCCTGTAGCAGCTTACCACCAATGAATGCCAAGTGACTCCCATCCTTGGACATTATTCTTCAGGGCAGTTTCATCTCAAACTCTGCTAGAAATGATTTTTTCATTACACTATTTTCCCTGTCTCAGATCACCAGTTCTTTATACCCTCCATCAGGCTAACAAACAGGCTTTGATGCTGGCATTTAAGCTGCTATAAAATATGAATTATCATAGAAGGAAGCCTTCTGGAAGTCTTTGAGCCTGCTGAGGCAACGCCCTAAAATTATGATATAATCTGTTGATGTGTTGCATCAGGTCAGGGCATGTCCTTTAGTTATATGCTACTACAAATGATTAGAGGCCCATCATTAGCGAACACTGAAAATCTGCATAAAGAGGTATATTAAAAGATGATAAAAGGCCTTAGGATCGATTTCATATTTATGCAGAACCATAGGAATTACAGCAAACATGAAACTCTGAACAAAGAATAGACAGCCACAAATTTCACATAAATTCACAAAATGAAAAACTAAGTTAATTTTAAAGAAATTTTTTTGTATTGTTTTTTTTGGTCACACCAGGCAATGTACAGGGGTTACTCCTGGCTCTGCACTCAGGAACTACTCCTGGCGGTGCTCAGGAGCCCATATGGGATGCTGGGAATCAAACCTGGGTCGGCCGCGTGCAAGGCAAACTCCCTACCTGCTGTGATATTGTTCCAGCCCCTTAAGGAACATTTTAAACTTTAACCAATAATATTGTAAAGTACCAGTTAAATTACCCGTTCTGCTTCTGGCCAAGATATACTTAAGACTTACCCTCCATAATAAAAAGAAATAGATTTAAAAGGGGGGCTGGAGAGATGGTACAGCAGGCAGGGTACTTGCTCTGCACATAGCTGGCACAGGTTTATTCCCCAACATCCCATATGGGCCCCTAAATCCCACTAGGAGTGATCCCCCAGCACAGAGTCAGGAGAGCGTAAGGCTTCATAACCATAGCCAGATGCAGCCCCCAAACAAAACAACAACAAAAAGACAAAAAAAAAAAATAGACAAAACTATAAGGGAGGACATGGCAGCAGTTGACCAAGAAGAGCTTTGAACGTTGTGAAATGTGAGCCCTACTGCCCCAGTTCACTGCCTTGGGAACTTTCAGATTATAGCAGAAGATGGAAACTGGGTAAGGCCTGGCGGACTGATAGAGCTGAAGGGATACGGTGAGACTCTCAGATCAAAGTAATTGGAATTTATGGGCTAGAATATGAAACTGAAAAAGGGCACAGAAAACATAACCAAAGGAGCCGAAATCCTACGCCAATGTGGTGCTATTAAGAGGTAACCAGATCTCGGGGGTTTGATGCTGGCATTTTAGCTACTATAGAAAATGAATTATCATAGAAGGAAGCCTTCTTTGGGGGGGGTTACATAGGATTAGGGACTTTATATAAGATAATATAGAGAATTTCTTAATA